CAATTCCTGGACACACCACTGTGTGTGTGTGTGTGTGTGTGTGTATTTGTGTGTGTGTGTGTGTGTTTGTGTGTGTTTGTGTGTGTGTTTGTGTGTGTGTGTGTGTGTGTGTGTGTGTGTGTGTGTGTGTGTGTGTGTGTGTGTGTGTGTGTGTGTGTGTATGCCGGCTAGTTCGGTTGGTGGGTACACTTATGCCGGATAGTGTTGGGTCTGTTGCCAACGGGCTCGGCTGCTTGAAGGTGTAATGTTGTACCTACCACCTTTGTTGGTTTCAGGGTTCATATACTTTCTATTTGAAGTATACATACCTGTTAATCATGGACTACTTCTGGCTAGATTAACTCTTGTGTAATCATGGTGCTAGTGAAGCTTGTATCAGATCCACTCTGATTTAGCCACCCACACTAGTAGCAAGTATTACCTTCACTGGGGGCAGGGGTACCTGCAGTTGGATCCCAGGACGGATACCCTGATGCCGTCAATCCTTTTTCTGCACCTTGTCCTCACCCACTTACTGAGGTGTGGTGAGCCCATAAGTGGGATCATTTTCAAGTCCACCCAGAGTTTTGGGGATTTCAGGGGGTGTCGGCCGTTGGGCGGTTCAATAGCCAATTGAGTCATCTTTCCAAGATTCCTTTTGAGTCTCTCTCCCCTCTCCCGGGGAGACCCACGTGACCAGTTTTGGCAGTGAGCAACAAGTACAAGTACAAGTACGCGTGTGTATATGTGTATGTTGCAGTATTTGAGTTGATGTCGTCCGGATGTGTGATGGACGATGAACTGGACGACAAACTGGATGAGGTGACGTCGCGCAGTTACTTCATTGACTTGATGCTAGGTGTAGAATACTGTGAGTACAACGGTACAGTGGTACATGCACTCTACACTATGTACATTCACTGTACAGAACAGTCAACTTTGCGAATAACGACACTCGGCGGGGCATCGGAAAAGTGTCCTTATTCGCGAAGTGTCCTTATACCCAAAGTCTCATTATACGGAGTATAGTTAGATGGGACTTTGCTCTGGGCATGGAAATTCTGTCGTTATTCGCGAATTGTCGTTATATCCGCAGTTGTTATTAGCGAAGTTGACTGTATGTATCTTAGAGTGGTGGCACATCTTGGTCATGGGACAGCATTTGTGTGGAATGTGATCCTGGCATATGTAGACAGTGCAACCAACATGGCCGACATCATATGACCCATAGATGCAGGGGTTGAGTGGAGTTGTAACCAACATGGCTGTCATGTTTGATCATGTGACCCGCAGATGCAGGGGTTAAGTGGACTTGGAAGCAACATGGCTGCCCTGTGTGGTCATGTGATAGACGTGAAACAGCTGTGGTCATGTGATAGACGTGAAACAGCTACATGTATAGGGCGTCGTGTTCCCAACTGTACTCTACTCTAGTGTGTACAGTACTGTCAGTCGCTGAAGAACGGGGGGGTCAGCCTCCTAGCCTCCTAGCCTAGACCGTTCTTAAAAATGTCATGTACTACAGCAGTCTATGCACAGTTGAGTCACCGTATATACACTGGTATGCTGTGCTTGGTGAAATTCTAGCCTGGTCGTTCTTTGGCGCTCCGTCCTTGTTTTGATGTATGACGACGGTCTATGCACAGTTAAAGGGGAAGTTAAGGCAAAAATTAAAATTTCACCAGTTGTAGTCTTCGGGGTGCTGAGTCGAATGGTCTTGGTCCGAGAAAGCTGAGACGCTCCCTTCCTACTTGAATCCCAATCGAACTCGCGCACTTCCACCGAAACTGGGTGACTGCGCCCTACTAGATGGGGATTTGTATGCAAAATGTCACTAAAAGCGCCATTTCGTTCTTATAAAAGCACGGATGACCGCGATTGGCCCATATGTTGTAGTCTTTTGGACGCTGAGTCGACTGGTTTTGGTCCGAAAAGGCTGCGATGCAGCGTTCCTCCTTTATTCCCAATCGAACATGGTTGAACAAGCGGTCACGTGCTCCTGGGTGCCCAAATCACCTGGTCACCACGCCAGCAGGCGACAAATTTCACACCAAGGTTCAACTCGAGTGACAGGAGTGCACCCAAAAAAGGTCAAACAGGCTAGTAAGTTGTACCCTGCAGGCACGGTGACCAGGTGACTGGTGTACGCAGGAGCACGTGACCACTTGTTCAACCATGTTCGATTGGGAATAAAGGAGGAACGCTACATCGCAGCCTTTTCGGACCAAAACCAGTTGACTCAGCATCCAAAGGACTACAACATATGGGCCAATCGCGGTCATCCGTGCTTTTATAAGAACGAAATGGCGCTTTTAGTGACATTTTGCATACAAATCCCCATCTCGTAGGGCGCAGTCACCCAGTTTCGGTGGAAGTGCGCGAGTTCGATTGGGATTCAAGTAGGAAGGGAGCGTCTCAGCTTCCTCGGACCAAGACCATTCGACTCAGCACCCCGAAGACTACAACTGGTGAAATTTTAATTTTTGCCTTAACTTCCCCTTTAAGTCACCGTATATACATTGGTATGCTGTGCTTGGTGAAATTCTACCCTGTTCGTTCTTCGGCGCTACGCTCTCCGGCGTCCGACAGCACTGTAGTACTTGTGTGTGCATACATCATGATTGTATCTGCTGTTGTGTTGTGTTGTGTTGTGTTGACTTGTCACAGTACACGCTCAGAACATTGCACACCGCGACATCAAGCCACAAAACCTGCTGCTGGACGACACGCGCCAGCACATCAAAGTAAGCGCACGCACTGGGGTGAAGTGAAGAGACACCTCCAATGGGGATGGAACGGAGACAGCTGTGTGGATTAGGCAGTTATCTGGCACTTGCCTTGATCTGTTTCATTCAGATCTTGTCCGCTAGCGTTGCTATAACTAACCGGTATGGGAGAAAGTCCGTGGTGCACATCCAGTGCATTTGCAGCTTTTTATGCTTCTCTTGCGGCGGGCGTATACATGGTACAGGGTGTATGGAAGGGAGAGACAAAGGAACCAAGAGAGAAGACAGAGGGAGGGTTTGGGAGGGTTTGGGAGGGAGGTTGGGAGGGACGGAAGGAGAGAGGAATGGGTAGTAAGGGAGGGAATGAAGGACTGTGGACAGGGGGGGGGGGGGGGGGCAAGGCAATATGTTCCCAGTGAACACGATAGCTAATATGTGCTTACTGGACAGTGTTTGCGCCTATTTGCCTCTCTCTCTCTCTCTCTCTCTCTCTCTCTCTCTATCCCTTGCCCTCTTTTTCTTTCTTTTCTCTCGTTCTCTCGTTCCCTCTTCCCCTTTCTATCTACTTGTATCCCTATTTATCCCAGGATCTCTCTTTCTTTTTCTCTCTGTCCCACGCCGTGCTCAGATAACAGACTTTGGCGTATCAGAGTGGTTTGATGACGCCGAGGGCAGCAAAACCAGTGCTGCTGGTGAAGGGTCTCCAGCCTTCATGGCTCCTGAGATGTGTGAGTGTTGTCCGCAAGTGATTTTCTACATCTGCTATGCTTAATAGCACCCGCTGGCATTTTTAAACTGGTTAAACAGTCGGTGGTTTGAGTGCCTCGACTTCTTCACCGTTGTACCTGTACTAGTGTATCAGCTACTAGGAGTCGGTATGACTGTTGTACAGTCAACTTCGCGTATAACGACACTCGGCGGGCCATCAGAAAAGTGTCGTTATTCGCGAAGTGTCGTTATACCCGAAGTCCCATTATATGTATTACAGTTGGATGTGACTTTGCTCCGGGCATGGAAATTCTGTCGTTATTCTCGAATTGTCGTTATATCCGCAGTGGTTATTCTCGAATTGTCGTTATATCCGCAGTCGTTATATCCGCAGTCGTTATTAGCCAAGTTGACTGTATCTGTGTTTTTTTTTGTTTTTTTTTTTTTTTTTTTTTTTTTTTACTATATTCACATAACCAGCTCGAAAAGAATAAGGAAAGACAATGGTACGGAGACTAGGACAAACGTGACAACTAATGAGCAGGCGCTGCACCGAGACGCAGCAGTGATGGTGGGGCATTGATGACTCTGCCGACCTGAGGTCTCGGCGTCACGGCCAAAAACACGCACCAAAAACAATGAAAAAAGAAGAAGATAGAGCTGTACAGGTAAGAAAGATGCAAAAACCCAAGGCTTAACACGAGCGATTGTGGGGGAGAAACTGTCTTAGCGTCATACTATTCATAGGGAATCGACTGCCCAGAGCCAGTTTGTGCTGCGAAGATGGCGGTAAACATTCGTTTTGAATGATTGCATTCTCTTGCTGTGGGGAGGCTGGGATAGGAGAGCGGCAGGGAGGGAGTTCCAATCGCTGATGCTGCAGTGTGGGAACGAGCGCTTCAGTGCCAGCGGGGCAGATGCAGGCAGCTGGTGTTGGAGCTGGTGGTCATGGCCACTGACAGCACCGTGCTCGCTGCGAGTTCTGGGGTTGGTAGAGATGATGTGGCGCGGTGGCAACACAGAGAGCAGCTGCGGAGGACCAGGCAAGTAGTGCAGCTTGTACAGGCAGGCAAGCGAGGCAACAGTGCGGCGGATGGCCAGGCTGGGTAGGTGTGCCCCAGGGCCGATAGCATGAAGCGCGCGGCGCTGAACATTGTTCAGACGCTGGAGGTGGCTCTGCGCAGCTCCCATCCATACAAGAGGCGCATACTCCATGACTGGTCGTACGAACGCCTTGTATACGGTCGTCCGGCCGGCGGGGGTGAGTATGTGGGCGGCTCTGTTTAGGACCCCAAGCCGTTGGCGTGCACGGGTGGCTACGGAGCGTAGGTGATCGCTGAAGGTCAACTTGGCGTCCACCTTCACACCAAGGAGGGTGATGGTGGTTGTCTCGGGCACCAGTGTGCCACCAAACAGGAGTGGGGGGAGATCTAAGCCGGTGCGTCTGAGGGTGGCTGTCATGGCCTGGGATTTGGTCGGTTCAAACATCACTTTCCATGTATGACCCCACTCGTGCAGTCGGTCAACGGACACCTGCAGTGACTGCGCGGCGACTGTTGGGGTCTGCTGGGAGGTGACTAAGCTGTACAAAGTTGTATCATCAGCATAGGCTTCCAAACTGGCGCCGTCAGCGAGAACATCTGGCGCGTCGTTGACGTAGGCCAGGAAAAGCGTTGGTCCAAGGATGCTTCCCTGGGGGACTCCAGCGGAGGTCGTATACCTAGATGACGTCCGCCCTCCAACGAGGCACTGTAGGGAACGGGTGTCCAGGTACGAGGCCAGCCATCTCTGAAGCGGACCATCTATGCCTAGGCTACGCACCTTGTGAAGGAGGCCGATGTGCGAGACACGATCAAACGTGTTATCTGGGCAGTCCTGGAACGGGCACTGCCCGCCATAACTTGGAAATATCCATAACTCGATATCACATACACTTCAATGGGGAAGGCCAGAGATCTGGCATTTGATGTCACTACAGTCAATACTGGATATAAGATGCCCCTTTGATTTTCGTTAACTTATCACTATATCCGGTGCACCGCTATAGCCGATTTGCATGTATGACTGACACATGGCACATGACTGCGTATGAAATGATGCATACACGCTGGAAAAAGCATGCTGAAAGCGCATGGATGTTCCCCGGACTATGTAGCATGCATTTCCGAAATAATGGCAAAAGAGTAGTAACATTTCTACTCTAAACTCACAAACAATGTGCCCGGTAGACCGAGGTGTGCGTAACTTACTTCGGTGTCCGGGTAAGCGATGTATGAGTGTAGTGGTGATCCACAGTCTAGTGTGGCAAGCAGAGTGGCGCAGCGGAAGCGTGCTGGGCCCATAACCCAGAGGTCGATGGATTGAAACCATCCTCTGCTACTCCTTTTTTTCTTCTTTTTTTTTTCTTTCTGCTTAGTTTTGGGGAGTGGAATAGTTTACTTGAGTATTCAGATCCTTAAAGAAAGGATGGTTTATGTCTCATTTTGAACATTTTTATCTGTACCATGAAATTTCTCCAATCCAGTAGATCATTGTTCAAAATCTGAGTCATAATTACAGTCCGTACAAGTAGCGTGATTGTAGTCGTCGTATGTGTGTGTGTGTGTGTCTGTGTGTGTGTGTGTGTGTGTGTGTGTGTGTGTGTGTGCGTGTGTGCGTGTGTGTGTGTGTGTGTGTGTGCGTGTGTGCGTGTGTGTGTGTGTGTGTGCGTGTGTGCGTGTGTGCGTGTGTGCGTGGGTGCGTGCATGCACACACGTGTTTGGACATGACTTTGTATGTCTCTTATTCACTGTGTTTTATTGACAGTCAGCAAGAGGGAGAGAGGTGTGAAGCTGGAGGTCGATGCAAAGGTACAACTGCTTGCCCGGCTGTACCTAGACCATAGTAGATCACGGTCTGTGAAATATAATCTACCCACCAGCACGCCATTAACCGCGCTCGTTCCTCATTCTTCATTCCACTTGGCCTAAGCGAAGACTAGCCAAGCTTGCTTGGTGATGTCAACGCGAAAAGGCTGATAATAAATTAGAGCTGTGCGGACCCTGGCCAGCGCCAGACATTACTGAAGTAACGTCTTTTGCAAGCTACGGGAATAATACTACAGTCAGTCCTCGTTTATCCGGATCCCTCGCCATCCGGAAGAAAATAGTTGGTTACAAATGTACAGCATATGCCATGCTTACATACAGTATGTGTGTTCGATTATCCGGTTCCCTCGCCTATCCGGATATTTTTGTGGAAAACGGATGTGTGCGGTTATGCGAGGTCTGACTGTAGTTTACATTGGTGTATGCTTCTGCGGAATCGAGTGAAGATCGCTGGTTCGAGTCCTGGTGGTGACAGTCAATTTTTTCTTCAGACTTTTTTCCCTTTCCAACACGCTCAACAGATGATGAATATTTGATACTGAAGTAGAGCAGTCACTAGAGCAAGCCATCACTTCACGCCTGTCCTGTCACATCAGATCCTTGTGCACTTTGTGCGTCTCTCAGACTACTGTACTTGTGTCTTTTGGTTGTGTTATGTGTTCGCTGCATGATCCATGCAGGGTAATAGGTAATTGTGGATTGTGAGCTTGTACTGGCATTGCTCAACATGTGCGTGTCATTCATCGTGGTGTGTTTGTTAGTTTTTATCTTACTTCACCAGATACACAGCGGCATTTCTGCCTTCTCGTCTAACCACACGGCTAGACTCTCAATAAAAGATGAATTGTCACGCATGTGTTGTGTGCATGCGTTCATTCGTGTGTGTGTGTGTGTGTGTGTGTGTGTGTGTGTGTGCGTGTGCGTGTGCGCGTGTGCGTGTGCGTGTGCGCGTGTGTGTGTGTGTGTGTGCACACGTATGTATGTATGCATGATGTGGTTATCTGTGCGCACAGAAAGTGGACATCTGGGCCATGGGCGTCACACTCTTCTGCTTCCTCTTCGGCAAGGTATTTCTTATGTTGCTACATATGCATACTTTAACCCTAGTCACACAGAGCATTGCCACTCTACAGTCCATTCATTGTAAGCTAGCAGCCTAACTAATACTTCTGGGTGCCTCTCAAGTACACATGTACAGACTTGGTGTTTGGTTGACAGCATGTTACAAGGCGCAGGGCGCACTGTGCTTGAAACCAGCGTGTTTTTGAACCAATCAAGGTTTATCTAATAATATGTACGGATTCGTGTGTGAAAAAGGTACATCCTGCATTGTGTGATCCGTGCAAGGGAGTCCTCTAGGTCATGCCGTATACTTCGCTCCCGGAAATGAATCCACCGAGTCTCTCTACATTCTTAGGCGCCTAGAAGCAAATCCACTAGCTCGCCACCATTACACCATTCATATAGCCTCTATAAGCCAATTGTGCACTATGACGTAGCATGCATTCCATATTTGGCATGCACTATGAATGGGCTTATGGTTTTCAGCACATTAACACCACTAATGGTAGCCCGACTGTTGTGTGTGTGCGTGCTTGCGTGCATGCGTGTGTGCATGCGCGCTTGCATGTTTTGTTTCTGGTCCTGTAGCTACCGTTCCTGAGTGAAAGCATCTTAGAAGTACATCGTCTGATTGTGGAAGAAGAGTAAGATTTCAGTGTAGTGCAGTTTTAACTTTTAACAGCAACAAGACCAGACTTTCACCTGTTAGGAATTTACTGTTGTTAAAAAGTCCAGACGTTCACCTGTTTTCAATACTTTGTTGATAAAATGATGGATTGGACGTAAGAAAGAAAATCACGGTTCGCGTGAGACTCGGCTAGACGGAGTTTTCTGATACAGTATACAAGATTGCCTTGGCCAGAGAAGCATGCTGACATGCAGTAATGGGTAGTTGATGGCGGACATGCTGGGATTGTGAGCTACTTTCTACAAGTCCAATCCATTGTTCAAACTTACCAGCTGCTATACCCTTTGATTAATAGAGTGTTGCGTCGATGAGTGTTCGACCCGGTATGTGTGTTTGCTTATTTGTGTGTGTGTGCGTGCGCGCGTGTGCGTGTGTGTGTTTTTGTGTGATCGTGTGTGTTTGTATGTGCATGTGTGCGCGTTTGCGTGTTTGTGCTTGTATGTACCTTCCACACGATGCGAATACCTGCACAACAGACCGGACTATCCTGCTGAATGGTAAGCTACATGAACACTAGTATGTCTGTTAGTGTCCCCTGTGCATGTCCAGGGAGGTTGTGTACTGTATGCATAAGCAGCATGGATAGCAACATGGATTACACTATGGATAGCAAGAAGAGTACATAACCCCCAAGAGTGTGCAACTCCAGCTATGAGGTCTGCGACGGCAGAACTTCACATCGCGTGATGAACCCGTATACATTTTTGCACTCTGTGCATGATAGATACAGGGTTGTACGCAACCCAGCTTAGGGTACAACTCCCTTGTGGTCACTTTGCACTGTTTGCCAGCGTAACCTTTTGAACCATGTCACGTGATGTGAAGTTCTGCCGTCGCAGCACAGCATAGAGGTTGTGCAGGCAGTTGCACACTCTTGGGGTTATGTACTCTTGGTAGCAACATGAACAGCAAGGAAGCACATGCATTGTGAAAGACGGGGAAACCATTTTGACGACACACTCGAAAAGACCAAAACGGCGCACAGCCCACATCTCCAGAAAGGGCAGCCATCTTGGTTCCTCCTCCGGCCAAGCCTTGCTTCAGTGGCGTACTCCAACGCCACTCAATCTCTGCAGTAATAGATCAGGACTGTGATATCGGTGGCCATGTCACAGTGAATCCATCTCCAGCCAATCCCTGCCATCAATGGGCCACATAATGGTGACCATATTGGTGCCAAGTTGTCACCTCCACTCAACCCCTGCATCTATGGGTCACATGATGTCGGCCATGTTGGTTCCACTGTCTACACGTCATGCCGATCACTTTATACAGTAAATTAATGCCGTCACACGACCAAGATGTGATACAGGTCAGACCATCTATCAACCCCCGCATCCATGGGTCACATGATGTCGGGCATGTTGGTTTCACTGTCCACATGTCATGATCACTCTCTACACAAGTTAGTGCAGTCACATGACCAAGCTGTGATACAGGTCTATATTGCATTAGGAGCAAACAAACATGCCACACCCAAACACAACTACAGTCTGCTTCTTTCTGCGACTCTTGAAGCGAGTTTGAATTTTCAAATTTATCCTTGTTGCCACGGTTTCCTTGCTTGTTGATTACAGTTCTGAGGTCAGTAGCGAAGCGCGAGAGTTTCTCAGCCGGCTGCTTGAGAAGGATCCTGCGAAGCGTATCTCTCTGGCCGACATGCGGGTAAGCTCAGGTCGATTTCAGTTCACATTGTTTGACTGGTCTTCCAACGTCAAGAGAAATAAAATGTATCGTGCAATGTTATCCTATGAGCTGAGTGTGCAGTAATGGGTGGTGTAGTAGTGGACAGTATGGCGTAACTTGTAGTTCCTTGGTCCTTTTTCTTTCCTATAAAATCATCCTTGGCCGAGTCTCCATCCGATTAAAGAAATGTATGTGATGAAATCTTGTTCTAAAAGAAGAACACTGATAAGACTAGCTTTTGCTGGAGAAGAACAAGTACACATAACTCTATTACTCAATCTGCAGACAGCATGCTGTTTCGTTCTTTGTGAACTCATCAGCGCAGCACAGAGAAAATGAGGCCGAACCTGATAGCAATGAAAAATAAATTTTCCAAAGCCAGATTTAAACCAGGCCCCGAGCGTACCTTGCCAGAGAGTGCTCAAACTGACAAGTAACAAGTAACTATTACTCTATTGTCACGTACGTTAAAGCCGGGTTTATTCCTGTAGCAGCTGATGTCACGGCTAGGCTTCTATTCACATCAGGCTTCTATTCACATCAGGCTTCTATTCACATCAGGCTTCCGTTCAAACCACGGATTTCTATGTATGTCAACACAAAAACACTGTTACCACCAGAACTGGAACCAGAAACCCTTGCTTGTGGCCAGCAATGCTCTACCAATAAGCTATGGTAAAGTCGTCACCGTAAGCCTCTTTTAAACCTGGAAACCTTTTGAAGAAGTTTTACTGTTACCCCAACATTTGTTTATTGAACTGTTGGCAATGCCGCGCAGAGTCATCCCTGGATGCAAGAGTTGGCACTGCCGACCGTGGAGGAGAACTGTGACGGAATCAATGACATCACGGAGGACGAGATAGCCGCCGCGTTCACCTCGCTGTCACTGGAAGACCTGCAGGTGCTCGTCGATCTGGTGTACGAATCCAGTCACAGTGCAGCTGCTGCTGTTGCTGCTGCCAATACATCGGCTGGTACTGCAACTCTTGATGGTGCTGGTGCTGGCGGTGGTGGTGTTAGTTCGTGGCAAATACCTGACAATGATACCGATACAGCTTGTCAATATCTGTAAGTTCAGTGAACATGGTGAAGTGTAATTCACCTGCCCTACTTTCCAGAGTACAAGCCACACTGTGAACACCAGTCACAGTCAGTAATTCCCAAAAAGCCGGCACGGCTTGTGCTACGATAGTCAAATTAACAGTGATAAACAGGGAAGACATCTGTATTTTGTGGCTAAATGTGTGTGCGGCGGCTTAGGGGCCATCCGGCTTTAGCGATAATTTTCACGAAACGAAAAGGTTTAGTTAGGACCCTGCCCCCCCCCCCCCCCCCCTGAATGAAAAATAGGTTGACTTGACAGGTAGAATGCATTGATGTCTCACATATCAATATTTTTTCAAAACGAAACTCTCCTTGACCCACCCAACCATAACGCAACTTTTTTTCTTTTCCTGTAAAAGATCGATGATTATGGACGGCCCCATAAACTCCGGAAAATACCGTAGTACACACTCTATTAAGACCAGTTCTGCCAACCACTTGCATTTGTCCATATTTTCAACAGACATTTGTAGTGTTGAAATTCCCGCAGAATGGAAACATCATACTCCGTAGCATGGAAAGCAATCAGTGCTTAAAGATCACGTCCAATGCACTGTACACCAAGTGCAACTAAGCCAAATATCAAAGCTTGCCAGCTATGTAGAGGATTCATTTCAGTTGCATCCGTATGCCTGGGTGCTGGTATTTAGACGACCGAATTGAATACGGGTGTGCGTATGCATGCATGCGTGTGTGTATGTGTGCATACGTGTGTGCGTATGTGTGTGTGTATGCCTATATGGTGTGTGTATATGTGTGCACATGCGTGCGTGCATGCATATGTGTGCATGTGTGTATATGATTGCTATCACAGGGAGAGGAATGGCGAAGGCAATCATACCACCACCACCATTGACGGCGCGGCTACCAAGACCCATCCAACCGCTGGTACAGACCTACACCAAGCCTCACTCTATTCCGCCGCCAAACAACAGACGTACGCACCGCCAAACGCCGCGACTCTGCTCTCCGTACGCAGCCTCGTGTCCGAGTCCCTGGATCTGCCGGACATCTCCGAGGAACAAGAACAGATCCTGGAGCGTCTTGCCATGCCACGCCGTCCCTCGTTCACACCCTCACTCTGGACAAACTCGCGTCAGAGCTCGTGCTCACCATCTAAGTCCGTAGGCGGCACGCCTCTCTCACGCGGCACCAGCCCCAGCGCGCTGAGCGAGGGTGCCGTACGAGTGTCGACGTCATCCCGACGATCTTCGCCCTGGCTGGTTGCCGCCGATGAGGACAAGGGTATGTCGGCGTCAGCATCATCACCATCACCCGTTGCAGATGCACGCGATGGTGGCACGTGCAGGGAAGAGGTGTTGCAAGATTCAGGTGGCCCAGAGTTTGTAGATACCGTGCGGAGTGTAGCATTACCAGTAGCAATGGGGAAGGGAACAGCTGGTGATGTCGCTACAGACAATGTTGTCCAGGGTCACAACAATGCTGATGATGATCACGATCACAATGGTGTTATCGGCGAACACACTCAGCCAGCAGCAGACATAGACGTAACGCATTCGCATGCACCACCGACTACTCCACTCTCCTCTAGCGCGCGCCATGACAACGACAGCGCAATGTCCGTCGACATTGAGCGTGTGATCGGCGCATGCCAGCGTCTCAGCACCATCATCATTTCCACATCGACGTCATCGACCACGTCATCAATGGACAATGACGAGGGCGAGGACAATGTCATGGGCTCGAGCTGCGGCAGCGGTGGCCGTCACGAGCCGAATGTGGTGATGTCATTGGACAACAAGAAGGGTGATGAGGATGATGTCATGGGTTCCAGCAGCAGTTGCGGCGATGGCCGTCAGGAGCCAAGGGTGGTGATGCCGTCTGACGGTGTCGTGCTCCGACGGGAACGCTTGCGTCGCAGTGTTGGCAATGCGGAAATGGACTCCACAGATGGTGGTGACGACAGCCAAGAACGCATGCGAGTGCAGCAACAGCCCGAGCAGCAGCATGGAGAGGGCGAAAACGAGTGCGTGTCCACGAGTGTTGCCACTGAACCGCTCAACAATGCTGCTGCTGCTGTTGATCATGATGATGACGGCCTCCACACAGAGAGTCCCTTCTACTCCTGCATGTCATCTAGCACTGGTGACGTCATCACAACGAGTAATGATACCCATGTGACAAACACCGATGACGTAATCGCAACATGCAGCACACGCATTGTAGAGGCCCAGGATGACGTCGTCTCGGCAGAGAGTAGCACTGCTCATGTGGCGGACACTGATGGCAGCTGCACTACACACAGTGCACACTCCGAGGACACAGATGTGATGACGGCAGTGACCAGTGGTCATGTGACATGCGCGGAGCAATGCGACGAAGATATGCCGCCGCGTCCGCCAACCCCGACGGAATTCCTCCACGATGCCAACGGCGACGACGAGTGGACTGCCATGGTGGATAGCAAGCATGATGAACGCCGGGAGAGACAGCTACCTGTCGCGCCCGATACAGTGGTGGACCGCTTCTTCCGCTGGATGAGCGAACAGGCAGCAAGCATGATGTAAGGGAGGAAGAGCGACACACACACAACAGGCGGGCGAACGGATGAAGCTACGATGTCCCTGCATGAGCATGCATACAGTCTGATCTGTTAACCCCACCGTAGTGAACACTGCCGGACATTGCTTGTGTCCTGATCGTGAGAGTGTGGAAAAGTGTGTGCACACCGTCAACTCCACCTACCACAGCCCCGCTTCTTGCAGCCCCGTAACAACTTAGTAGTGACATGCTGATCTTGCTACGGATGCTCAACCGGTGTGATTTCATTGAGATCTTCATGTTCGTCATTCATGTTGGAGATGCAGGCATGCCCGCCATTAGTCCTTCGATTGTCATTGCAGAGCCACCTGTAGCGTGTCGTAAATAATGTGTTTGTGTTCGTCCTTGTGAGTACGGTTGACCGCACAATAGTCCCTCGGACACGGATAGTTGCTTGAGGAGTTGAGCGTTGAGTTGAGCATGGCAAGTTCCGTTGTATGACCGCCACACTGGGCATGCACATATCCATGTCGTCTTGCGCCGTATTTCATAATACAGATGTATACAACGTCACATGTACGTATATGTACATGTACTGCATGACTGTACTATCACGCACATGTGCTGTGCACGCCGGTGTAGTGGAGACGGCTGTTGCACATCCCCCGTACGCTATATTCCTCCTACTACTACTACTACATGTACTAGCTACAGTGGCTGTGCTGCTTTGACATGGCCGTTGCACGTTCTATCACCACTCACATGCATTAGCTCTGGCATTATTTATTTCACCACCTACACGTCTTCTGTAGAAGCAGGACAGCAACACCAACAGTCCCATTAACAGCAGCAGCAGCAGCAGCAACAACGACACCAGCAGCAGCAGCAGCAGCAGCAGCAATAGCAGCACCAACAGCAGATCCATTCATGTAGCAGCAGATCATCTTCACCACCACCACCACCGCCGCCGCCGCCACCACCACCAACAGCAGCAACTGTGGTAAACGTGCACGCCATGAACGAGTGTACTCTGCCAGAACTACTGCCACAACGCTATCATGATGATGTCATGGTGATGTCATAGTGACGTCATGCTCACCGGAACACAATCTACAATACTACTGTGCATGTTACTTCCACTGGCGCACTGGTTTGGTCAGCTACATCTCTTCTTCGTCCTCCTCCTCCCCGGCCTCTTGTTTTCGTTAGTTTTCAGCCGCAGAGTGTTTTGTATGATTACACACAGTAACAGGACGAGCAGTTCGTAACTTTGAGTGTCACAGTAGAAGGATATTTAGAGGAATAGGAGTTGTTTTAAAACGTTATCAAGTTGTGTAGCCTTTTATGAGCGATCTTACACTTGTATACTAGTACCATGTGGCTGATCACTGAGGCATTCTTGAGAACCCGGCACACTGCACAAAGCAGCAGCAGCATCACATGACTTATAGAGCGTTGAGTTCCATGTATGGACAACTTATGTTTGTTCGAGAATACTTTCACTCATGGACTCTGGTACTAAATCATTCCACTGATAAAAGAATAGGCAGCGCGGAGATAAGATCTATATTCTACCAATCAGAAGAGCTAGTGGGGCGGACATTGTACGTACCTTCAGTAACACCATTATTAATTTTGCTACTACAGGTGCAATGTCACTAGTTCTTCTGAAGGCACATACAGCACTGTCTGGTATAGCATGGCAGTGTGTATAGAGTGTCCGGCTTGCCTTGTAAAGGCTTGTGTACTCCGAAGTACAGTCAGACCCTCGCTTACCCGCACGCATCCATTTTCCACAAAAATATCCGGATGGGCGAGGGAACCGGATAATCGAACACACATACTGTATGTACGGTATGCATGACATATGCTGTAAATCGGTAACCGATGATTTTCTTGCGGATGGCGAGGGATCTGGATAAACGAGGACCGGATAAGCGAGGTCTGACTGTTGACTGTAGTAGAGTAGTGCACTGGGTTCAGGGACAGTGGACCATCCAGTTAGGACTTGCTAGCCCTGATCAATGCGCCATACGGTACATTGGAAACACACAGATTTGCACACTACTGCCAGATCGGGCACCTCCCTTTTCTCGTTCCTATTGCTAACCTTCGAGAAGTAAAGAGGGAGGGGCGATAGGGGTGTGTCACCTTGTCAAGACAGTGAACACCACTAAGAAGAATAGAGGCTCGGTTTACGTGTTGATTCTGTCTCAGGCCTGCTGCTATGAATGGCAGTAGTGGTATATGGGGGTGGGGGCAGAGATGTAGAACAGGACAATGGTTGCCAGCACAGCGAAGATCACAGATATTACACCGCATGCACGTCTGCTTGGTTCAAAATTGATCAGGCACAGCACACGACCGTCTGAAAGACAACATTGACGGAGAATGTAATAACATGAAAGTACGCGTAGCAATTGATCAGTTCACATGTAGCAGAGTAGTGTTTGAGAATAGCTCAGAAAATATGTTTTCGTCTCTGTCTTGCTGGTATGAAAATTCACCGGCTTCTCAAGACCAACTCATGTTCACAGACAGGCTAGTTACTAGTGACAAGGAACAACGAAAGGGGACCCTAAAGCGGTGGGAGACTGGGAAAGACTAAAAATAAATAAATAAATATTACTCAGGTGTTGCTATCTGCCCGACGTTTGTTCAATTTAGTTCAAAGGCAGTGAAACGAGACACAGACCTAGCTAGGTGCACCATCACCTGTTCCCACAATGGTCCGAAAATGGTGCCACAATGGCAATGGTCCCACACAGTCAACATCATATCAGTGAGTACTAGCATAGAGCCAGGTATTGTGTGAGACGAGCTGGTATGCTAGCGTAGTCGAGAGGAGCTGGTATGCTAGCACAGTTGAGAGGAGCTGGTATGCTAGCGTAGGCAAACACCCAGCTCCTCGACCAGGACCTGTCTGAGACGCAGCTGACAGTCACGCGTGTCTTCCCAGGACAGCACGCTAGGACTCACGGCACGGTACGTCACGCAGAATGTCAGACTCACATTGTCGTTGCTGGCCGCCCCTGCCCCGGCTGCTGGGTTAGAGGGATCGCAGTAGACGTCCAGTAGGCGCAGGCCGTGTAGAGTCTCGCCGCACACGCTACTCGCCACCCTCTCCAATTCCCGCTGCCACCAGCACAGGACACCGTCGGAGATGCAGCGTGAAGTGGCGGACGCTGACACACCTACACCTGTTTCTGCACCTGCTTCTGTTTCTGAACATATTCCTGCACCTGCATCTGCTCCTGCATCTGCTTCCGGATCTGTTCCTGCATCTGTTCCTGCATCTGCTTCTGCACCAGTTCCTGTTCCTGCATCTGCTTCTGGCATACACGAAGGTTGCCGCCGCGGTGACCCGTCCAAAGCAGATCCGTTCGCTTCCGTCGTAGCAGGCGGCGTGTCGTCTAAAGCAAGAGGTTCTCTTTCCGCGTCGTTGCATCCACTGTCGGTCATCTGCTCCAGTGTCGTTGTCGTCGTGCGGTGGCTGCGGAGCCAAGATGGGCGCTGCGTTGTCGCCGTCGCGGTGGGCAACCAGAACGAGACGTGGTGCTCGTACGTGGGCGTACACAGGCTCTGAACGCGGCGCACGTACGGACACGCACGGAACGTCCCAGCGTAATCCTCCTGACAAGCCGTCGGCACCGTCGTCACCTCGGCAACACCGCCGCTCCCATAATCCGTGTGTAGTGTGCCAATGCTGGCACCACCGGCGGATGCGTTGTGACTGTACATGTATAGGTCTGAGTGTGAGCGAGAATGCGCCACTTGGGCTTGTCTGCACTGCGGCGAGTTTGCTACTGTCAGTGATGAGCAGTCCAAAGCAGATGCTAAGCATAATGCTGATGTTAGCGAGGATGCTGACGGCAAGCAAGGGCTAGCGTGAGACAGGTAACTATGGCGACGGTCCCACTGTGATAAGCAGGACGATGCAGACGGTAACGAGGATGCTACTGATGATGGCAGGCACGGTGGTTGAGGCTGAGGCAGGAGGTACCTACGACGGCCCCACTGCACAGGCCTCAGGGCCGGCGTGAACACGTGCAGTACGCCTACGTCCGAGCCAAACTCGGCGTCGCGACTCTGCAGTCCCGTGCGAGCGTAGCCGGGGATAACGTCTGTGTTCACGCGCTGAACTGCGCACAGCATGAGTCCGGCCGCTGCCGCCATCTCCACCGCTTGCCAGTGATTGGCACGCTCTCGCATTTCGCCCTCGTCCGCCGTCGTCCCGCCCTGACCGGGCATGAGCAGTACAGCTATCTGCGGTAGGCATGCGGGTACCATCTGCTCTGGGAGCTCCGATGACGACGCCTGACACCTTGCGTTGACGTTTTCGATCTTATCGACGCGGTAGTTACTCCCGCTGTGCATCATCGTCACGGGGTTCCGCTTAGAAAACGGTTCGCTGTTGGAATGAATATTCCTATCCAATTTTGGGATCCTCGCCATTCCCGCATTCCTATGGTCGACCTCGTCACGATTGGCTAGCCGACACAGGGCCGGCGAATGCCTCCATGTCGAGCACCTTGCTCGCACTCGAAAAGAACTCTCGCAGCAGCGCGCGGTCGAGCTGTATCTTGTCGCGTCTTCCTCCTGTGTGCGGGTAGTTAAACAGGACGCGGCGATAGCGTTTCTCGCCGATGAGTGTGTGTGTGTGCAGGGCAGTCCCATCCACACCCGTCTCTACACGATGTCCAAGCTCCACCAGCATGTCGATGTGTTTGCTGGCATTGCGACGCTTTCTCACGTCCACCTCCTGCTCATAACACGTCGCAAGGAAGCCGTCAATGCCCTTCCAGACGGCTGGCAGCGATGCATGCCGCAGTGCCTCGCTACGCCACTTATAGGAATGCTGGCAGCAAGGTGTCTCCCCGCACGTACGCCGTGCATCATTGCATAACTCGCACACTGGTGACACTCGGTCGCTCACTCCACATTCGCTCGTCGTGTACGAATCCCTGGCGCCGCAGCAACGCTGGCACAGAGTATCGGAAGTAATGGCGTCCGTTCTGCAGCCCGGTGCAGAGTGGCTAGGTTCGCCAATGCATGTACCGGTACTGCAACTTGCTGCTGCGGCTGTGCACGTGTGCAGCACATCTGCCATTGAACACGCAGACTCCATACTGCTTGTACGTCTCTCAGGGACTCTTGGGCTGCTGCTGTTGTTTGCACTGCTTTCACAATGACAGGCACACCTCATGAACGCACTGTGGCAGACTTTGGCCAGGCCAGCGGCAAACGACAGGTTCCCGTCACCTACAATCAGACAAAACCGACTGGGTTCTAGATCGGCATCTTGTAGAGCGCCGTTATCATGCCTGTCCGCAGATAGCTCCTCCATTATCACTTACTGGACTTTGTAATTGTGCTGGTTTGCTTTCAAACCTCGGCTCCAATCTAGGATGCTGCACCAGAAGTAACAAGTTCGATGTCCAACAGACAGAAGGGCTGCAGCCGTGCAATGCTACGTGCTGCCCTGTTCACACCCAGCGGAAACCCACAGCCAACCATCACTTGGAAGACAAGAGACATTTCTGCGATTTTTCGCACTGATTGCCAATTTTATAAAATACATGTAGGGAGCGAAATGTCAATGGCGAGCCTCACGCAATCTGTGTATACTTCTGTCTGTTGATCCTACATACTACTTTCTTCCCAAATCCCTATATACCCAGGGGTGTAATGTCGCGAACAGCAAGGAATAGCGCAATAGCATTCATCATGTCTTCAGAAAAGTATTTTCATGATTTTTTTAGTAATCCGCGATATTCATGTTAAAACAAAATGGCGTCACGATTTATTGAAAGTGGTATAGTCCGTGGGCCAATCCTGAAAAAAGGCCTCCTAGAAAAATCTCGTTCCGACTTTTGGGCACCGCAATTTTATTGGCCACGTCTACTCTAGATACCTTACTGAGCAGGATTCCGGTTGTTGTCACTCTGACAACTTTCTGAAAGGTATCCAAAAATCGGCTTTTCCATGTTGAAAATTTCTCTCTCGGCGGCCATTGTTTTGTATGCATTCATGCATGCGCGTTGTACTACAAGTACAAGTAGTTCAAGTAGGTCGCACTTACGTGCGGTAAGTACACGTGCACTGCACAGTCGACGATCCCGATGTGTTGCGCTGTACTGCACGCACGCTGTGTGTGTGGTGCTGTGAAATGTGATTATGCACCAGAATAGACGAAAGTACACGAATTCAGTGTTACCTGTCATGTCAAGTCGTCACGGATCTGGTACGATCTGGTACACTGCACACTCTCTGCAGGCGTGCACCCGGACCCACAATTCTAACTCTCTGCAGTGCAGGCGTGCACCTACTATACTTGGCATCTTCCTTCTCAGTTTGAACTTTCATTTCGAGATTGGTTTTTTGGTTTCAGTTTGTACTAGTATGTCTGTGGTCAAGTAGCACTAGAAGTATGCGTCGTGATGAGTTTAAAGTGTCTCATTCACGTTCGTGAGTGCGTTGAGGAGGTGAAGCCCTTCACCCAGACAACGTGGAAGAAGGTGTGTGAAATATGCACTAGTGAAGCTGTTGCCGTAGAAAATTTAGCTGAACTCAGGGAGTTATGTCGTAGTGATGTTTGGCCTGAAAACGGAGGCTTCCACAGAAAATGTTACCAGAAAATAACGAATATAACCCTCCGACGAAGGCAGAGTACCTCAT